TTGATTTCCTGAGATTTCTATTTAGTTTCTTTCCCATAGCTGCAGTTTAATATTCTGTCTGGAAAGATAAGACATGTAGAGTAAGTAACTCATTTCAAGAGTGAGAATTTTTTTTTAAAAAAACTATATATTAGGATTTTTAAGAAGTTTTACAGCTATCCTTTCAGGTCCCACTTAGGAGAGGTTCCAAAAGAAAGTTAAAATAAAGTGGAAAATTAGATCATTAATGAGATAATTCAAAACAAAAAATTACTTTTAATTCCTAGTCTTAGGGAAATAGAATATTCCAGGAATACATAAGGCCTTCCATAAACTGGCCCTGGCTACCATTCCTAAGTCATGTTGGTCACTCTTCTTTCCCTCACTAAGTTCCAGCCACATGGACCTCCCTCTTCTCTTCCTGAGCACAAGAATTTCTGATCCTTCTTGGGGATGATCTCTTAATCCTAAATGCTTGCCCAGCTAACTCTCTGGAGAGACTTAATACTCTATTTGTGGGTCCCATTCTCAAAGAGATTGTCCCTAACCTTTCCATCTAAAAGAACACTCCTCTGTCACACAGGCCCCTCTTTTCCTTTATCATCTTCATTGCAAATTACTCCTTCATATTGTGTTATATATGTCAGTTTTGATTTCTTATTTACCATGATTTTTTGACATTGATTTTGGTTTCTTAAAAAAAAAAAAAAAAAAAAAAAAACAAGGGCTGGGGATGTGGCTCAAGCGGTAGCGTGCTCGCCTGGCATGCATGCAGCCTGGGTTCGATCCTCAGCACCACATACCAACAAAGATGTTGTGTCTGCTGAGAACTAAAAAATAAATATTAAAAATTTTCTCTCTCTCTCCTCTCACTCTCTCTTTAAAAAAAAAAACAAACAAACACAAAACTCCATCAGGGCTAGGGATGTAACTCAATGGTGGACTGACTGCCTGGCATGCACAAGACCTGGGGTTTTATCCTCAGTACCAATAAAAAGGCGGGGGGAAGGAAAAATGTGTATGAGGGGAGCATCAGAATACTATTTCTTTTTATTACAAAGTATTTTGGGGCCCTTGTTGCATTATGGGAGGGTGACTTGGGTACTGTCCTGGCCCCGGTGCCCCCCCCCCCGCCATGGAATGATAGCTGCATAGTATAAGCCTTTGCTTTGTTCCCTGCAGCACCTCTAGAGCTCAGTAGAGTCCTTGAAAAATAGGAGGTGCTCCAGATGTGCTTATTAAAGGCAGGGGTGAAGGGAAAACAGTATTAACAAATAGGGTTGATACATGTTGATACATTACGAGTGCAAACAGGAATGGCACATTTATAGATTGGGGTACATCGTTAGGGAAAAAAAAAATGTTAAAGGATGTTTTATTTTAAAAAAAAAGAAAGAAAGAAAGAAAAAAAGCATAGTTCCAGAAACATGACACCGCAGGGCTTGTCACATTGGAAGATCTCTTAAGTGGTCTCCTCACCACTTCCATCCTCCTGATGAATTTAACATAATTGAGGTCAAGTTGCTACCACCCCCACCACCCCCACCACCACCCACCATTTCCTCTCCCTTCTTTGGGAGGAAATGGTACAGAATTCTGGGCATGAGACACAAATATTCAACAAAAAAATAAAAATAAAAAATAAAAAAATGGCAGAGCTGAAAATATATGTGTAATTCTATTAGATGTTTTCCCAGAAGTAATCATCCTATTAGATTAATAACTACTCTTTCAAAAAAAAAAAAAGGAAGGAAACACGTTTAGCTAAGGGCAGCACTTTTCATGTTCGTATCCAATGGTTTTGCACTTTGTTGACAAGTGTCCTTGGTTTGAACTCATCTCAAAATGGGGAGGGGGGGACATGAAATAGGACCTGTCATGACCTTTTAGACATTCTGTCACTTAGGAAGGACTGAGCTAAAATATACAAACAGCTGGAACAGTGCTTTAGTAGTAATCATTCAATAAATATGGGCTGCTGTTATCATCATTGTGTAAAAAATTTTGTCCACTGCAATAAAAACTTGTGGTTTGCCTCCAAGCAACAATCTTTTCTTCTTCTAACAACATGGCTGACTTTTGCTAGGGGGTTGTATTGGAATTCAGTTCTCACAGCTGCATTTCATTTCCATACATCATTCCCTTTTGTATTGTTTTGCTTCACTTTGTGTTTTTGTGGTGCTGGGGATGGAACCCAGGGCCTTGTGCTAGCTAAGCAATGCTCCATCCCTGAGCTACATCCCCAACCCTGTTCTTTGCACATCTTCTGAGCAGAGGACCTGGTATTTTTTCCCTGGACCATCTTTTCAAGGATCCTGGTAGCCAACAGCCTTGGAAGATAGAGATAGTGCCTCGCTCCAGAGCACTGGGCAGGCTTGTCTGTTTCCAGTGTAATAAAGACGAGGTCTCCTCTAAGTGAAGCTTGGCCAGCTCTGCTCAGAGCCCATTATAAGAGATTGGATATTTCTGTTCTGAGTTTCCTCTGCTTTGAAACAAACCTAAGTGTGAATGGCCTATACCTGAGCCCACCTCTGACTCATCCCCTTGCAGTTGAGGGATGAGGGAACAGGGCATGAAGGTGAAGCTTCTTGTGGTGCTGAGGGAATCTCAGGTCTCTGTGCAGATAGAAGTCCACGTGGCAGCTCTGACCAGCATCCTTAGGAAGGCCTGCCTGCAACATTGGCCTTTGATTGACATGTGGGAACTTGGAACTCAGGAGGGTTTCCAACATCCCCAGAACAAATAAGAATGGCTCACGGCACCTAAGCTGTACAGACAAGTGTGTTTTGTGCTAAACATCTTCTTTCCTTCTGAGAGTTTGGAAATCAGGTATGCGTCAGGAAGAGATGCCTATGTGATCGGTGCCCAATAATGACACTGGGTGCTGTGGCTCTCACAAGCTTCCCAGGTTGGAGACTCCTCACAACGATGTCATAGCTCATGGGGGGCGGGAATCAAGTGTGTCCCTTGTCATTGCACTAGGAGAGGACTTTAGGAGCTTGTGTCTGTCCCCCTAGATTTCACCCTGGTATCCTCTTCTTTTTGCTAATTTTACTTTCTGTCCTTTTACTGAAAAAATTCAGAGCTCTGAGTACAATGCTATTCTGCATTCTTTTAAGTCCTCCTCATGACTCATTGGGCCTGAGGTCATGTTGGGGACCAATGACACAGTCTTTGATACCAGAATCTCATGTCTTTTGTGGAATCAAGGCAAGCCAACTGGTATTATGGTTTAGACATGAGGCATCCCCAAAAGTTCACATGCAAGACAAAGCAAGAATATTCAGAGGTGAAATGACTTGCTTTTGAGAGCTGTAACCTAAGAGTGGATTAATCCACTGATATGGATTCAGTTGGTGGTAACCATAGGTAGGTAAGGCTTATGGAGGCCAAAGGAGAGCTCCATAAAGAACTTTCCCTTTGCTCCTCATAGAAACCCTAAATAAATCTTTTAGCTTCACTGTTCTTACTTGACTTTAAAAAGTCGCTAATTTGGGAGGCCACACAGCTGGGCAGTACAATTTTAGTCCCCTGTTGGTTTTGCCGTAGATCACACCTCTGGTGTGTGGGTTGTGATAATAACAGTTGCCTAGGTTACTCTTCAGGGACTTAAACAGTACTAGCTCTTCTGGGCCTGCAGATGTCCCATAGGTGACTAGAACAGGAGCAATGTCTTATCGGTCTATCCTCTTCACTGCCTTAACCTTTGGGTCAGAGTCTACTCTGTTCTGCATGTAGACACATTGAACATGGGGAAATGTTTTGTCCAAGACCATAAATACAGGACTAACTCCACCTAGACTTGCCTAATCCTGCTCCCACCTCGAATGGCTGTGCAGCTATTCTGCCCCAAATTGTTTTAAGATACTTGAGTCAATAAATTTCCTCTATTGTTTAAGATAAACCAGATATGGTTTTCCAACACTAGGAATAGAATCCCTGTTATGGTTTAGTTATTAGGTGTCCCCCAAAAGTTTATGTGTGAGACCAATCAAGTAAGTTCAGAGGTGAAGTGACTGGGTCATGACAGCCTTAACCTATTAGGTGTATAAATCCCCTGGAAGGGATTAACTGGGTGGTCACTGCAGCAGGAAGGCTGTGGCTGGAGGAGGTGGGTTCCTGGGGGCATGCCTTTGGGGTCTCTATTTTGTCCTTGATGAGCAGATCTTTCCCTCTGCGTCTTGGTTCCACGACCTGAGCTGCTTCCCTCTGCCACACTCTTCCGCTGTGATGTTCCGCCTCACCTCAAGCCCTGAGGAATGGATCTGGCCTTCTATGGACTGAGATTTCTGAAACTTTGAGTCCCCAAAGAAACGTTTCCTCCTCTAATTGTTCTTGTCAGGTCTTATGGTGACAGTGGTGAAAAAACTGACTTCAATCCCAATCGATGAAGCTTCTGCTGTTCAAAGAATGTGGCCCTCTAGGGTCTCTCTGTTCAGCTGTAGAGACAAGTCTCACAAAGGAGAGAGTCTTCTTTTTTTAGGATCCAGAAACGAACTCAACAAAACAGTCAGCTTTCTACAACCAATGTCTTAACATGCCCACCAAGGACGGAAGAGTGGATGGCCACTGGACCTGGTTCCCCTGCAGGGGACCCAGCTGGAGATGCTGATTTCAGGCTCCAGAGGTGTTTATGTGGCTGAGATACTTATGACAACCACAGACCGTCCCTGGGATGGACAGGATTATGTAACCATAGAAACCTGAGCAGAAAGCCTCCGCTGCAAGGGGTGGAAGAGGAGGTGGTTGGACGGGAGGAGAGCTCAGTGTCATTTCCATGTCTGTGCCCAGCGATGCGTATCCTGTCCACACCACACCTTCCTGTCTGCACCCCACAGGGGATGGCTTTGTGCCACACGCTGATCTGACGCATAAAACATGGCCTCTACAGCATCTGCCCACAGACTTCAGTGAGAAGCATTTGAAGGCCAAAAATAAACATCAAGGGCTTGACTTTGGGACCAGAACTCAGACAGTGTGGACCAAAGGCTGGCAAAGGATTGCTGAAAATGATGCTTCAATTCATGGTTACATTTAAATATTATTATAAACGGTCACAGAGTTGCAACTGTTGAAATATAAACTTTTTTTTCTAATTGAGCAGTAGAACTTCTCAATACAGAAGCTACAATATACAAAATAAGTTAATAGGGAACACAACAGAACATGTGTGGCAAGAATATACCATGCATCTTTAACCACAGTAAGAAAACAGCAAAAATATATATATATATATAGTTTTGGTGCAAGAAACATACACAATTATACCAATCTCACTGAATTAATTCAATCCAAAATTTAAAAAAAAATTACATTTTCTAATGGATGCAACAGAAATGTATCTTTTGAAACTGAGCTCCCTTTTCTTCCCTGGGCTGTATTTTCTCCCTGCCTCTGATTTATTATAGATGCATTTCTTAATCACTTTACTGTCTGTCTTCGCTATTGGACTGTGAGTTCATGAGGGCATGGCTGCTGAGAAACTGCTGTGTCTCTAGCCTTAGAACTTGACATATAATTAGTGCCCAATAAATAAGTGCTGAATAAATGAATGTAAACCACACACACATTTAACCAACATAGAAATGATTTCTTCCTTGTTACTTTCAACATGACTTTGCATACCCTAGATGGCATGTCCTCCTCATAAGGTCCTTACATAATACCTGGCTCTCTTTCCTGCCCCCTGGGGGTAAGCCAGTGTCCTGGAGTTGCTCGGCTGCTTGTACTACAGGCTCTGGGCACAGTGGCTGCTGTGGCCCATCCTGTATGCTCTGCGGCCTTCCCCAGGGGACAGAGTTGCCCAGGTTGTGCTGAGAAGCTAAGAAGTAACTTGAGGGAGGAAGCGGCAGCGCCTCAATCCAACGTCCCTCTGAATTGTCGTGTGTGATTCTCCAGCTTCTTGGCCTCAGCCTGGAGGTGCCCCAGGGCTGCAGGGCTCGGGTACTTGAGAACTGCATTCTTGGTGGCCAGTGCCAGGTCCTTCAGCAGCCCACAAAGGTGGCTGCTGCTGCAGAGGATCTCGTTACGCACATCCTTCTCCTGGGTCTCCTTGCACAGAGTGTCCACCAGCTTCTGCCCCACCATGATGACCAGCTTGCTCTGAGTGATAAAGATCTCTGGAGGCTGGCTGTTGCTGAGGCTGCTGTGGAATACGCTGATGGCTTTGAAGAGCGCCCCAAAATAGAGGCGGCAGTGTTCAGAAAGGTGCACTTTCCTCCCGGGGTTCTGCTGAGTCAAAGGCTGGGCTACAAGACAGCCAGGATTCTAGAGAGGAGAAGGAGGAAGCAGGTAAGAGACAGATGGATCAGCAAGCTGCGGTTATCTTCCCTTTCTTATTTTTGCTTGATTGGCAAGGCATTTTAGAAGGAAAGGCACAGTTTTTTGGGGGACATCTAAAGAAAATAATGTTTCCAAAGCACTGTAGCATATATCATAACATAGTATATGTAATCTTATGCATTATAATACATACTATATATAATTTTATTTGACCATCAGTAAACCAGAAGAAACTCACTCTAAGGGACATGTGGACAATAACTAAATTTATAGCTTTCAAAAGTGCAAGAAGGAGTTGGGGTTGAAGCTTGGTGATAGAGCATGTGCTTAACATGTGCAAGGCTCTGGGTTTGACCCCAGCACCAAATCACAAACAATAGTGTGCATGCAGGAAGATGTAACAACAAGTAACATTATTATGTTTAACAATAATGCACCAATAAAAATATGGAAAGAGAAAAAAATAAAAGGGAAAAGAAAAAAACCAATAATAACAACAACAAAAATGTAGAAACTTGACGGTGAGATTTTAAAAATTTTCCCCTAAGAATAGCTTTTAAGACATTTACAAATCCTTTCTAATTCCAGTACCAGAGGTACAGTGAAAGGGGTCAAATACACTGACCTACCTACCTTAATATGAAAATGCTTACCTTGTTTGCTATTAAGGTCTCATCAAAATTTTACTTTCAGGAAAATGGGATCAATGTTTCTCCCAGGACAATATGCCATCGGAGAATTCCCAGCACCGAGTTGGTGGTGGCCACTCTGGGTAGCAATACAAGGCAGCTTTGGGTTTTTTTTTTTTAATCTAGCTTTATTATTTGCAGTGCTGAGGGTTGAAGCCAGGACCTCTGCACAAGCTGGGCGAGTGCTGTACCAGTGAGGAACATACACCCGGCCCTCCTTTGTTATTTTATAAGTGAGGAAACTGAACTCAGGGGCCGTTCAGTTAGTAAATTCAGCTGGAGCTCACAGTCAAATGGCAGAGTCTGAGACTCTCTCCCTCAAACTCTGCCCTCTCTTGTCTACCTATGACAGCACTTCATCAGAAAGGACCCGCAAAGTGAATGTCAGAGGGGGCTGTGACCCTCGGGGCTGGTGGAGGGGGAGTCAGACAAGAAGCAAGGCATACTTGGGAGAAATCTATTCATTTTTATGATTTCATATTTGGAAAATGAAGACAATGAATATTTTTTAGTATGAAGTGAAAAGAGGATGGGATGTGGTTAAGAGGACTCTGTGAGCAGGGATGAGCATCATGAGCCAGGAAATCTATCTTAGAAGTACCAAGTGTAGGTAAAGGAAGAGAGTACACAGCTCCTGACCCGGGGGTGGAGCCTGCAGAGGTGGTTCTAGCTGCTGTCTTATGGACAGGCAGCTGCAGGCAGTGTGTGGGCAGGGGTTGGGGTGCCACCGGGGCTTCCCACACACGGAGCATGGTCCCCTGTGGCCAGTGACACCCTGTCTGCACTGAGGAAGCACTGTCAGTGTGGAGCAGGGGTTTTCCAGGTGTGGCCCCTGGACCAAAAGCATCAGGAGCACCTGGGGGCTTGTCAGGAAGGTAGATTCTCTGTACCCACGCCCCAACTAATCAGAAATTCAGAGTTTCAGCAAGCCTTACAAGGGACTGTGATGTACTGTCATGCTGGGTGGCCTCTGGTCTAAGGCATACTTTGCCTTAACAGGACAGCATGACCTTTAGCAATACAGAAGGCCTGGGATGCTCAGTATTTGGGGTGTGGGTAACTGAGCCTGGGTCCATGCCCCCCTTTGCCTCAGAGAAGGCACATGACCTTGTCTGCATCACCCTCCCCCACCTAGCATGCCCCTGAATCTGGGCTGTTGAACTGGTTCACTGTTTCCCAAGCAGCCAGCCTCCCTCTTGACATCTGCTGGCTTCACACTGAGTCTCTGGATGGACCCATTGTTTTCACTTTAATAATTTAAAGGAAAATTTCAAAATTTGGAATTGGAAAACTATTGTCATTGGTCGCAAATCAAAGATGACCAATAACAATAAGCACAATGATAACATCTTTGATTTTTAAAAAAAAAGAAGTAGGAGATGTCAAAGAGGTGTTGAAGACAGAACTTCAAACCAAAGTGGGTTTTGTTTTGTAATCAGAAGCATTAATTGATGACATCACAGAGAATGTGACCATGTTATCTAATGCCATGTTGGACCCACCCAAGATGAACTTGCAGTATTCCCTGGTGGCCAGGGTTAAGGGCCATGATACATACACTAGAGCTCTCCAGAGTTCTTTGTACTATGAAGAAGAGAAAACCAGATCTCCCCCAAGTGGGTCATAGCTATAGGATGAGATTGCTATAGCATGATGAAATGTCTCTAGGGACAAAGCATGTAACCAGAGGT